TTGTATGTTCCTGGTCCTTCCACACCATAAGTGTGGACTTTAATTAGGCCATTCCAAAACTTACATTTTGTTTTTCAACTATTCTGATGTAGAGTTACTTGTATGTTGTGGATCATTCAGATGAAAGAGTTTCACACCTATAGAGTTTTAGATAATTGAAACATTGTAAGTGAATGTAAGATTATCGGGTGATTTGATGCCTAACATTTTTAAGGTCTCTGGGCCTTTTGTTTGCATATATACAGTGTTGGGTAAGTTGATCAAAAAAAGTAATTCGCTACAAATTACTTCTTTAAAGTTGTATTTTGATTACATTACTGATTACTGCATTTAAAAAGTAATCAGATTACTAATTATTTTACTTTCAAGTTACTTTCAAGTTTACTTTACTTTTCAAGGTATTAAACCTAAAAAATACACTACAAAGAGAAACTCATAGTTCTTTTATTAATTTAATATTGACTGAAAAAAAATACATAAGTATTATTTTTATAGCCTACACTCCCAATATCAACAAAATTTGGGGGTGGCAATTGTGGCCTATTGGATAGAGAGTCGGACTTGTACCCCAAAGGTCGTGGGCTCGAGTCTCCGGTCCAGCAGGAATTGTCGGTGGGGGGAGTGAAAAACCAGAGCTCTCTCCACCTTCAATACCACGACTGAGGTGAGACCCTTGAGCAAGGCACCGGACACCCAACTGCTCCCAGGGCGCTGCAGCAATATGGCTGCCCACTGCTCCGGGTGTGTGTTCACTGCTGTGTGTGTGCACTTGGTTAAATGCAGAGCACACATTCTGAGTATGGGGCACCATACTTGGCCAGACGTCACTTCACTTTCTTCTTTCTGCGTTCTCAGTCTCCGTGAATATCTTCCTGAAACGAGTCACTAAAATGAACGAAAATGACATGAGAAATACAGTATATGAAGTAAGTCATGTCGAAAACAAATATTCTCTGATAAAATAATCTGTATGAAACCAACGCGAGGTACAGTCTTTTCTGTCTGAGCTCAGATATAATGTGATCACGCCCACGCACATCACGAGCAATAAGATAATCATCCAAGAGAAACCAGGCTTGAGACACGCGAATATGTAAATGTCCACATCACCTCCGTATACAAAGAAAGATTCAAGTTCATCTCGGCTACTTTGCGTTTTTGGAAGAAGACGCGATGTGAGGAATAAAGCCCCATTCACACTATAAGCGACAAAGCGACACGATCCCATTCATTTTAATGGAGAGTTGGCGACAAGAGCGGCAGCGGCCGTTGGAGACCGGATAGGGCGTGTCCAGCGACACGACAAAGTTGAGAATACTTCAACTTTGTGCAAACGAAGAGCAACTTTCGGGAGCGACAGCCAATAGGAAAGAAGACGGTAGAGCTCATGTGATCGTTCTCCTCTCAGCCATAGATAAACCTTCGCAATTAATTTTTGTTTGTATGTATATGGATTTAATTTATATTTATATTTAGTATTTTGCCTCCAAAATGTTTGTATTTAGTGACAAGAAGCCTGATTCGCTGTCAAGGCAACCAGTAGTGAGAACGCCCACTATAGCAACCTCATTGCCAGCCTCTAGCGACATGCAGCGACAAATTCGCTACTAGTGTGAATGCAGCTTTAGCCTTGAATTGTGATGCCGATGCGGCTTAATGCAGCGGATGATCTCATTCTGATGAGTCATTTATTTTTACTTATATTAGTGTTACTGTGTGACATAAACTTGTATACATTCACTTGTTGAACTTTTCCCAAACTATAATGCCAGACTAAAATATGTTGAGTGCAACATTTTGAAATATGATTCATACGAATTGAAATACGACCTTTCATTGGATCTAAATGTTGTAGGACTCATCTGCATTTTAGCTCACATTCTCCGGTGCCCCTATTATGGGTAATGAAACGCTCATATTTTGGTTTTGGGAGTCCCTAACAACAGGTTGACATGCATGCAAGGTCAAAAAAACACTTTCATTGTCTATAATATGCATTTATTTTTACCATACTTGCTCAACGACTCCAAAACGATTCGCTCAACGATTCATTTTTCCAAACCCCTGACGCTAATCTGCGATGATTGGTTCGATTGGTCTCATTTTCATTTCATCATGCCTGTAATGCCTGATAAAGCCAAGTATAGAGGTGTGTTCGACTTCATGCAGCACTGCGCAGACCGATCGGTGGCTGAATTGAAGCAGTGCATGCCGGTTAGAAATTTTGAACATGCCGGTTAGAAAGTCCGACTTGAACCGGCGCCAACGCCACGTCACTGTCACTGTCACATGTGGCATCAAAGTACTGTGATAGCGTTTCGAGAGCAGCCGGCTGACTCAGCTGGCGCAGCTTTTTCAGAGTGACTGCAGGACAGCTGTTTCACGATTGGCCAAATTCGCCACATGACAACAATGACGTGTGTTTCTAACATCTTCAAATCCAAAACTGCTCACAAATCTGTGTTTTTAGAACAGTAAAAGCTTTTTTACTGTAGTCGCAATGTTATATTGAGTCACGTTTATCATAAAACACTGATGAAAGCAAATATACCTCCACTTTATTAGTATTTAAATAGTATATATTTACGTTGAACTTTATTCTTGAACAGATGGCGCTGTATTAAGCAGTATAAAAAAAGTGTTTCTGTTGCTCATGAAAACGTTTCTGAAATGTCTGTACGTTGCATTTTATTCACTTCATCTGTGATAGAGTACACAAACACAGCGTGAGCTTCACTACCGGAAGCAGAAAGTGTCCGGCTTGACGTGTCCGTTTTCAACTCTGCCCCCGACTGCAAGCGGTCTTGTTGGCCGCCATCTGTAGCCATGGTTCAAGTCGAACGCACCTTAGGTCTCTGCAGGAAAGTAATGGGAGTTACCAGATCGGGGCGTTTTTAGACCATGTTTCCTGATTGGCTGACGTCATAGTGACGGTAGGTTTAGGGGTGGGGTTAAGTAAGGGGGATCATTTTGATTGAATGATTGAGAAACACCCTGCAGTTTGAAAACACCCACAAATTCAGAAACGCCCTCTTTTGCTCTGCAGAGACCTCAATCTCGATAAAGCAGTGTTTGTGAGCACAGTTCTGCTTTGTGTATAGCGTTACCGGGGAAACTGCTATTTTACCACTCCAAAATCGGCACCTAGTGGCAAAGAATGAATTTGCATTTTCATTCAGACCAACGCGAAAAGACCAACTAGTGGGTGGGCAATATGCTAATGTTTCATGTTGACGTCAACATGAAATGGCTTGGGATTCGTTTTAAATAGACTCGTTCCAATGATTCAGAGTCTACTCTTTCTTTTGAGAGACAATAACTTTATACACGGTGCACTTTCAGATTTAAAACTTTGCAGGATGTTCAAAAATCGCAAAACATGATTTTTACTTCATAATTTTTAACACTGCATTTGTAACTTAAGTAACGTAATTTTATTGACATAAGTAACCAAATTACATACATTTTAAATGTAACGCATTACTTTAACTAACTGCGTTACCAGGAAAAGTAATTAGATTACAGTAAGTTATACCCAACTCAAGTTATATATATTTGGCTATAAGTTTTCACTTTTCATGGTAGAATTCATTGTAGAAGATGTCTTTGGGGATTAATATTGTTAACTCTTTCCCCACCACTGACAAGTTATCTAATCTTTCATGAGAAAACGCTTCACGCCAAATATGAGATTGTACGTCTTTCCGTGTTTTCACTGTTATATGCTCGGTGGCACTATTACACATCTCTTGAATGAGACCAGAATCTCCTGATCAAAAGCACAGACGAGGAAGACGCAGAAACGGGCGATCTCATGTGTAAGCAGATGCATATGAAAAATAATGCAATCATCAACAGTTAACAGCATATAAAGCAAAACTACCTAATGTTATAGAGTAAAATGTCAATCCAGGAAGTTGTAAAGGACTGTCAAAGCTTTTGGAGTGCTGATGGACGCAATCTGCTTAATCTATGCTTTGATCATCGTACTGATATGATCCAGATGCAGTCTTTGATAAAAACATGTTTTTTTTTTCAGCTTTTTGCTCAAAATGATGCTTTTTTTTTTTTTTACAAAACTTACCTACATTAAAGTGTTGATAAAAAAAGAAAATTTTGTTTAAAATTAGAGGCTCTGTTCTTTATTTTGATGTATTGCATGTTCAGATATTCATACAACAACATTTCTGGGTACAATGGAATTTTAGTGAAAATGATCAAAAACGCTGGCGGTGTTAAAAGAGTTAAGGTAAATTATAGAATAGCTGATTAATTAGTTGAATTTTACATTTTCATTCCTGTTCTAGACTCTCAGACTGCAGTATCACTGAAGAAGGTTATAAAGCTCTGGCTTCAGCTCTGAGATCAAACCCTTCACACCTGATAGAGCTGGATCTCACAGGAAATGATCCTGGACAATCAGGAGTGAAGCAGCTCAATGATTTACTACAGGATCCAGACTGTCATCTGAAGACACTGAGGTGAGACGTGATGAAATAATACAAAATAAATTAAATGCAGGTGAATTATTTATAGAAATATTATTTCACCAATACAAACCTGCTGCATTAAAGTAAATTCAAGAAAAACTATTTCACACTTCTGTCCATCATATTTGGATGTTTTTTTTCCCATCAAGTTTATTTGGGAATTAAATTATATCCTACTTCATCTCTTCTGCAGGTTTTTGAGTCCTGATGCAGAAGAAGCCTGTCAGTACGTGACTGGAATTGTGGGTAAAAACCCGTTACTCCTGAGAGAGCTGAATCTGAGTGAAAATGAACTAGGAGACACACGAGTGAATCAGATCACTGCTCTACTGCAGGATAAACACTGTCAACTCAACACACTACAGTGAGTATTTTTAATGTAGTTTTTATTGCACATTTAATCTATGTTAAAGAAATCAGGTGACCTAAACACAGTTCTCAGTAATCACAGAATGTTGGAATCGAGCACTTTGTGTTTGTAAATTCTCCCTCTCCTGTTTAAAATGTTAGGCTGCGTGGTTGTGGTCTAACAGAGGAAAGCTGTTCAGTTCTTGCTACAGTCCTGAGATCAAACTCCAGTCTGAAAGAACTTGACATGAGCAACAATAATCTGCAGGATTCAGGAGTGAAGAAACTCCAGAACGGATTAGAAGATACAAACTGCACAGTGGAGAAACTTGGGTGAACCAGTGTTTGATTTTAATAATAACAATAACTATGTCTTTTGAGTTTTAATAATTATTTTTTTTGATCAAAGAAAAATTACTGTAGTAAACCAAAGAAGAGGGAAAGACATGCTTGTGTCAGATGATGAATCATGTTTTTCTCCTCTGACCAGAAGACCATAAACAAAATACAGTAGACATTTTTTAATATTAAACTTTTTTGTAGTAACATTAATTATATAATACTTTTGATTGTAATAAAACCTCTTCTGTAGACTTTCAGACTGCAGTATCACTGAAGAAGGTTATAAAGCTCTGGCTTCAGCTCTGAGATCAAACCCTTCACACCTGATAGAGCTGGATCTCACAGGAAATGATCCTGGACCATCAGGAGTGAAGCAGCTCAATCATTTACTACAGGATCCAAACTATTCACTAAAGACACTGAGGTGAGATGTGATGTAATACAATATAAATGAAATGCAGGCTCATCCATACTTCATATGTTAAAGTAATACAAAATAAATAATGTGCAGGTAAATTATTTATAAAAACATTTGTGTAATACAATTTGTTGCAGTAAAGTAAATCTAATGGTGCTTTTCCACTGCGTAGTACGACTCGGCTCGGCACGGCTCAGTACGACTACTGAGGCCCTGGACCACTATGTTGTTATAGTTGCGCCGCCTCTACTGTCGCGACTCCTGAAAAACTTTTTCATTTGCGTTCAATCCTTCGCTGGCTGTGCTGATTTAAATCTAGCAGTTCTGTTGTGTTTGTGTCGCAAGTTCAGTGACGCAGGTAGTGACAATTCTTTCCGGCCAATCCGTGATCAGCAGAGTTTACACGTCTCGTTTTGGTAACGGTACGGTTCACTTGGAACCTCAACCGAGGTGGTACTAAAAAAGTACCAGGTACCAGGTACTGTACCCAGTGGAAAACCCCCCAAAAGTGAACCGTACCGAGCCGTACCATGCAGTGGAAAAGCGTCATAAGACAAACCCTTTCACACAGTTTCAGAATCAGATGCTATTTTTCACCAAGTTTAGTAGAAAACTGAATTGAATCCTGCTTCTTTCTCTCTTTAGGTTTTTGGGACCTGATGCAGATGAAGCCTGTCAGTATGTGACTGGAATTGTGGGTAAAAACCCGTTACTCCTGAGAGAACTGAATCTGAGTGAACATGAACTAGGAGACACACGAGTGAATCAGATCGCTGCTCTACTGCAGGATAAACACTGTAAACTCAACACACTGATGTAAGTTTTTTTAAAAATATTTGTTAGTGACACTTAAAATCTTGCTGCTAGATGTGTTTTATCTATCTTTTATAAGAGAGTGCTGACTGAAAGAACATATAGGACTTTTGTAATGTGCTTATCATCATCATCCCCACCAGTAATTTTCAACTGTCAACTAATACATACTGGGAAATATTAAGATGAAACTAAATCTGTTTTCTCAAATCTGCAGTCTGAATAACAGCGATATCACAGAAGAAGGTTGTCGTGTTCTGGCTGCAGCTCTAAATTCAAATCCATTAAATCTGAAAGAGCTGAATCTGAGTAAGAATAAACTAGGAAACTCAGGAATGAAGATTATGTTGACTCTGTTTGAAAATGTACAGTGTAGACTGGAAAAACTGAAGTAAGTATTTTAAAAGTGTATCCCATTAATTAATCTGCTTATAACGGGCATTTGGAAGGTTCACTTAATTTTACATTTGCAGAATTTCCATCATTTTTGTGGACAGATGTTTACAGCATTTCACCAGATTTGTAGTCCTAATGTGAACTAAACGCAGAGACTTAAAGGTCACTGTGCAGTTTTCCACCAAAATAAAAGCTTGAGGCTTTAACATTCGAAGATAAAGAAATAAGATGTAAATATTACTATTATAACTGTATCATTCCAACCATTCTCCAAACTGCTTGTTCAGTGTAGGGTTGTAAGCATGGTTTAGGCTTAAGTATTTTACCATGAAATGCAAAATATTACTATATCAAATATACTGTATATGGATAAAAGTAATAGCTAAAGAAATTAGTTGCATAATTGTGTATATATAGATTTTTTTTTTTCTTCTACAGGTTGAACTGCATCAGTATTACAGGTGACGGTTGTGTTGCTCTGGCATCAGCATTTAATTCAAACCTCAGAGAGCTGGATCTGAGCGAGAATCAACTAGGAAACTTAGGAGTAACAGAAATCTCCAGTGTGCTGAGAAATTCACAATGCAAACTACAGATACTCAGGTCTGAATTTAGTTAATTTAAATATGAATCAGTGTACAGCTAAAGCTCCAACTGGTCTGTAAACTGGCATTGTGTAACAAGGAACAAGTCAGTAATGTTACTTACAGTAATGAAAAACGTGTTTGTGTAGAAAGATTTAGAAAGTATTGACAAACAGATTGCATTTTTGAGGTGCTGGGAAATATAAATATCCAATTGGTGTGAGGAATGCTAATAGTAATGAAGTTATGTTTTGATCTGTTTTTTACTTGGTTGTTTTTGTCTTTCTGTAGACTTTCAGACTGCAGTATCACTGAAGAAGGTTATGAAGCTCTGGCTTCAGCTCTGAGATCAAACCCTTCACACCTGATAGCGCTGGATCTCACAGGAAATGATCCTGGACCATCAGGAGTGAAGCAGCTCAGTGATTTACTACAGGATCCAAATTGTCAATTGAAGACACTGAGGTGAGACATGATGAAATAATACAAAATAAATGACATTCTGTTGAATTATTAATACAAATATTATTTCACTAAAGCAATCTTTTGTGTCAAGGTGAATTCAAGATGAACCATTTCTCACTGTTTTCCATCAGAATCAGATGCTATTTTTATTACACCAAGTTTAGTTGAATTGAATTGTGCTTCATCATCTGTTCTGCAGGTTTTTGGGTCCTGCTGCAGATGAAGCCTGTCAGGATGTGAATAGAGTTCTGGGTGAAAACCTGTTACTCCTGAGAGAACTGAATCTGAGTGAACATGAACTAGGACTGTCAGGATTGAACAAACTTGCTGCTGTACTGCAGGATATACATTGTAAACTCAGCAAACTGATGTAAGTTTGATCATTATCATGATAATTTTTCATACTTTTGAACTTGCTGCTGGGTGTGTTTTATGTATCGTTTACCAGAGCGTGTTGACTTTTAACTAACTCTTGATAAATATTTAGTTGAAACTGTTTTTATTTGTATCTGTATTTTCTGTTAACACAGTCTGAATAACAGCGATATCACAGAAGAAGATTGTCATGCTCTGACTGCAGCTTTAAATTCAAACCCTTCAAATCTGACAGAACTGAATCTGAGTGGGACTAAACTCAGAAACTCAGGAATGAAAATCTTCTCGACTCTGTTTAAGAATGAAAAATGTAGTCTGAAAAAACTGATGTAAGTATCTTAGTCAATGTGTACAACAAAGGCCAGCTACTAAACAAATATTTATCATGCAAATCTCATGTTGGTGGACTAAAATAGTAATAGCCAAAGCTACTAGATGCACAATTGTATGTAAAGCTTATTTGTTTTTCTCTTTTCTACAGGTTTAATTGCATCAGTATTACAGAAGAAGGTTGTGCTGCTCTGGCATCAGCATTTAATTCAAACCCTTCAAACCTGATAGAGTTGGATCTGAGTGGAAATAAACTCGGAAACTCTGGAGTGACTGAAATCTCCACTCTACTGGAAAACTCTCAGTGCACACTGCAGATACTCAGGTTTGAATTTGGAGAATTTAAAGATGAACAGAAAATTTATGACAGTAATATATTTTACAGTAGTAAAAATCAGTAGTATGCTTTTGTCTAAAAACATTTTGGCAACATTGGCACATGTTGCATTTTTTGGGCACAAACAATTATAAATACCATAATCTGAAAAATAAAATCTTGTTTTTACTAAATGAGTAACTGAATACATTTGAGACATTGTTTTTGTCTTCCTCTAGACTTTTAGACTGCAGTATCACTGAAGATGGTTATAAAGCTCTGGCTTCAGCTCTGAGATCAAACCCTTCACACCTGATAGAGCTGGATCTCACAGGAAATGATCCTGGACAATCAGGAGTGAAGGAGCTTGATGATTTACTACAGGATCCAAACTGTCAGCTGAAGACACTGAGGTGAGATGTGATCAAATAATACAATATAAATGATATGCAGGCTCAATATTCATACAAACTATTACTTCAGTAATATAATAATCTGCAATTTGGTGCATCTAAGTGTTCTGTGCCATTGGTGACAAATGTCAGCACAGTTTAGTTATGGTACAAGCAACAGTACAGGTTAAAAAGACATTATAGATGTGCTGATATTCAATAGTTTGGTATTAACTTTTTCTGAACACACATAATTTCCATCAAGCCCAGATTCTCAACACTCTGTCACTCTGCAGCAGATCTGTGAGTCTCCAGTTCTTCACAAACATGCTGTGTCTAGAAAGATCTTGAGACCAATCAGAATGCTAATGTCACTGTCCATATTTGTATTGAAAATCAATATTTTGCCCTTCTGCTCCTCAGGACATTTGCTCTGTTACACTGTTTCTTTAAAATAAATATTTGGACGTCAAAAAGTCATACTTTTTTATGTTCAAAGTAAAACAGTAACTAGAGCTTGTCATTAGAAACAATAATGTATTCTGTCTTAACATGTTTTGTAAGGCAATGGACATTTAGTTCAGAATTAAACTGAATCCTACTTTTGCAGGTTTTTGGGTCCTGCTGCAGATGAAGCCTGCCAATATGTGATTAAAGTTCAGGGTGAAAACCCGTTACTCCTGAAAGAGCTGAATCTGAGTTTACATGAACTAGGAGACACACGAGTGAATCAGATCGCTGCTCTACTGCAGGATAAACACTGTAAACTCAACACACTGATGTGAGTATCTTACATCATTTAACATGTATTTGATAATACTATTTTCCCATTTGTTTGAGCCAGAGGTGTCACAATATTAAGTATTAAAATTAAACAGGCCATTAAAAACACAAATAATTATAAAATGGCATTTAGCTTTAAAAGGTAGGCCAAGTCAGTTTGATCTTGGGTCAGTAATTATTTCATTTACTGTAGAGGGAGAACAATAGTCACGTCGGTGACCGATGAATTGGGATCTCGCTTCGAGAGACCAATATACTTAGAGTGTAAACTAAATGAGCCAATGCACATTGGCATGCGATGATTGCATCCGGCTGCCGCTGATCACAGCGCAAGTATAATTAGGCAGCGGGTGCAACGCATACTCAGCCTTTTCGTCTGAGAGGAATTCTGACTAGTCAACGTGCGCTCTGAGGAAGAGGCTTCTTCAACGCCTGGTGTTAATGTGACGGCGCTGCAGCAGGGTTACAGTGGGGGCAAACCCACCGAGTGCATCTCCGTGGGCCCCCCACTCCTCTAGCACGCTGCAAGCTGTGGGGCTACCGGGTGAACGTGTCAGTTCCTCGTACGGGGGTCCGGTCATTTCATTCGGTGCTCCTCCGGATGACCAGATGTTGATTGCGGCATTGGAGGGTGAGCTGGAGTCTGGGGATGAGGACTCGGCTGCGCTGCCCACTTCGGGGAGAGTGGTGTTGCCCGAGCCTGACCCAGAATTAACGGCTATGCTTTCCTGGGCTGCCAAGGTGGTCAGGCTCGAGTGGAGAGAGCCACCGTGTTCCGAGCTGTCGAGGTTAGATGATTGGTATCTTGGGGCGGCCCAGGCTGGTTCTCAGCCCCCCACCCCAGTGTGTTTCTTCCCGGAAGTGCATGAGGAGGTGACCAGGTTGTGGAAGGCACCATTTTCTGCCCAAAACCGGTTTGGTGCCTCCTCCTCCCTCACTACCCTCGATGGTGGGGCAGCCAGAGGTTACGAGGCAATCCCCCCGGTGGAGCCCCCACCTGGAGGGGTAACCCTCGTCTCCCATCCAAGGCCAGTAAGTTCTCGTCTGTGCTTACGGCCAAGGCTTACGGTGCCACTGGACAGGCTGCCTTTGCCCTGCACGCCATGGCACTCCTGCAAGTATACCAGGCCAAGGCATTAAAGGAGTTGCACGAGGGTAGTTCTGACCCAGGGTTGATGCAGGAGCTGCACACGGCGATGGACCTCACCTTGAGAGCGACAGAAGTCACTGCGCAATCCCTGGGTCAGACAATGGCAACGGTGGTGGTCCAGGAACGCCATCTCTGGCTGAACCTGGTGGATATGCGGGAGACCGACAAATATCGTTTTCTCGACTCTCCTATCTCCCAGGCCGGCCTTTTCGGCGATGCAGTCGAAAGCTTTGCCCAACAGTTCTCGGCTGCCTAGAAGCAGACGGAGGCTATCAAGCAAATCCTGCCCCGGCGGCCCGCTGCTGCTTTCACCCCGCCGCTGCTTTCACCCCGCCGCTGGGTGCAGCCCCTCCCGCCTGCTCGTCGCTGAGGCGACGAGGCCCCCCCAGCCTCAGCAGCAGCAGGATCCACTGAGGCCACAGCGGAGAGCTGGCCGCAAGGGGGCTGCGCCACCCTGGGTTACAACCAATCTTGGACCTGCGAGTTTTGAACCGGGCCCTTTGCAAGCTACCGTTCAAAATGTTGACGCAGAAACGCATTTTCGAATGCATCCGTCCCCGAGATTGGTTTGAGGCGATCGACCTGAAGGATGCGTACTTTCATGTCTCCATTCTCCCTCTGCACAGGCCGTTTCTCCTCTTTGCGTTCGAGGGATGGGCATATCAGTACAAGGTCCTTCCCTTCGGGCTGTCCCTGTCACCCCGCGTCTTTACGAAGGTTGTGGAGGGGGCCCTTGTTCCCATGAGAGAACACGGCGTTCACATTCTCAACTATCACTCATTCTGGCTCAGTCGCAGGATCAGTTGTGCGAGCACAGGGACATGGTGCTAAATCCCCTCAGCCAGTTGAGACGTCGGGTCAACTGGGAAAAGAGCAAACTTTCTCCAGTGCAGAGGATCTCTTTTCTTGGTATGGAGTTGGACTCGGTCAACCTGACAGCACGCCTCACAGAGGAATGTGTTCAGTCAATGCTGAACGGCTTGAATTTTCTCAGGCGCAGGACAGCGGCCCCACTGAAACAGTTTCAGAGGCTCCTGGGGCATATGGCATCCACAGCTACAGTAACGCTGCTCGGACTGCTTCATATGAGGCCGCTTCAGCACTGGCTTCACGGCCCAGTCCTGAGATGGGCGTAGCAGCGCGGCACGCACCGAGTGATGATCACTCCGGCCTGTCACCAAGCTTTCAGCCCATGGTCGGACCCTGCATTTCTACGGGCAGGAGTTTCCATAGTACAGGTGTCCAGCATGCTGTTGTGTTCACGGATGCCTCCACCACAGGCTGGGGTGCCACGTACAATGGGCATGCAGCTTCGGGGTTGTGGACGGGCCCCCATCTGCATTGGCACATCAATTGCCTTGAGTTGTTTACAGTACGCCTTGGCTGGTCCGCTTCAAAACGCTGCTATGAGGCAAACACATACTGGTCCATACGGACAACATTGCGACCGTTGCGTACATCAACCACCAGGGTGGTCTACGCTCCCGTCGTATGTCGCAATTCGCCCGCCATCTCCTCCTATGGAGTCAGAAGCATCTGAGGTTGCTTCGTGCCATTTACATTCTGGGCCTGCTCAATCATGCAGCTGACGAGCTTTCACAGCAGCATGCACTTCTGGGAGAATGGAGACTCCATCCCCGGGCGATCCAGCTGATATGGAGACACTTCAAAGCCGCACAGGTAGACCTGTTTGCCCCTCCAGACACGTCCCATTGCCAGCTGTTCTATTCCCTGACTGGGGGAACCCTTGGCACGGATGCACTGGAGCACAGCTGGCCCCGGGGCCTACGCAAGAATGCGTTTTCCCCAGTGACCCTACTTGCACAGACACTGTGCAAAGTCAGGGAGGATGAGGAACAGGTCCTGCTAGTTGCACCTTACTGGCCCAACCGGACCTGGTTCCCGGAACTGATGCTCCTCGCTACAGCACCCTCCCTTCCGCATTTCTCTGAGGAAGGATCTACTTTCTCAGAGATGGGGCACCCCCTGGCACCCGCGTCCAGATCTGTGGAACCTCCATGTGTGGCCCATAGACGGGAAGCGGAGGTCCCAGGTGATCTACCCCATGTGTTGGTAGACACCATCACTTCGGCAAGAGCACCCTCTACGAGGCGTGCCCATACCCTGAAGTGGAACCTGTTCGTTGAATGGTGCTCTTCTCACCGGGAAGACCCCCGGAGATCAGAGCTGTGCTTTCCTTCCTCCAGGAGGGGTTGGAGCGAAGGCTGTCTCCCTCCACCCTAAAAGTACATGTTGCCACAATTGCCGCACATCACAACCTAATTTTCAGGATCCTGAGGGGCGCGAGGAGACTAAATCCCATACCCTCTTGGGATCTCCCTCTGGCACTTACGACATTGCAGAGGGCCCCTTTTGAGCCGTTGCAGTATGCAGATCTGAGAACTCTGTCGATAAAGACTGTGCTCTTAACTGCGCTGGCCTCCATCAAGAGGGTAAGGGACCTGCATGCATTTTCGGTCAACGAATCGTGCCTGGAATTGTGCCCAAGGTTCCCACCACACCTTTCAGGGATCAGGTGGGGAACCTGCAAGCGCTGCCCTCGGAGGAGGCAGACCCAGCTCTAGCTTTGTTCTGTCCCGTTTGCACTTTATGCCTATACGTGGACCGTACGCAGAGCTTTAGGACCTCAGAGCAGCTCTTCGTCTGTTACGGAGGCCAGCAGAAGGGAAAGGCTGTCTCCAAGCAGATGTTGGCCCACTGGATAATGGATGCCATCGTCTTGGTGCATCAAAGTCAAGGCGTGCCGTGCCCGCTTGGGTTGAGAGCACACTCGACAAGGAGTGTTGCTTCTTCTTGGGCGTTGGCGCATGGCGCCTTGCTGGCAGATATTTGTAGAGCTGCAGGCTGGGTGACACCAAACACGTTTGCTAGGTTTTATAGCCTTCGTGTAGAGCAGTGTCCTCTCGTGTACTCGCCACAAGTAGCCAGTGAACCAGAGAGACTGCTCGGTGTCTCGCTTGCTGCGCCATTCCCCTCAACTGACCGGATGCGTGTGCTTATTCTGCTCTTCAGTTCAGTTCCGTCACCCTCGGCAGCCGTACATGGCGGAGTGTCCGGCGCCAGGCCTAACACCTGTAAAGTTGCCTGTTAGTTAACCCCTGTGCTAGGCTAGGTGCCATATGTTGTG